GCCCTACCATGTATTCGCTCGCTTAGCCCGCCATTCAACCACTCTTATGGATGGTGGCTTAGGCCGGGCGTCATGCCAGATGGACTCAGTCTAATGGAGAAGCCAGCTGTGAAACAAGTAACCACACAAATAAAATACTAATGACATCTGCGGTTAGTGAGTTCTTTGTGGCTAAGGTAGGGCGGTGGGCGTCCCCAGTACTTCAAGGGCTCCCCTAGCTGCCCTGCCCCACCTTACAATCATGTGACCAGTTCTGACCAATGGGAGGCTGTGCGTGCTTGGAAACACCCACTGTGAGGGCGCTGAGAGCTGGTGAGCCTCCACCCCTCTTGTCCCTAACGCAGGCCACCTCGAGGCCCCGGTGCCCTTAGCTACAAGTTGGAGGAGGACCACCAGATCCACACTGGATTTTACTGAGCAACACACGAGGCTTCCTGTGTGAGATCTTGGTGATCTCGAGTTTGTTGGGCAGTTAATGTTAATGACCGCGACTAAGGACAGTTTGCCCCAAGTGAAGGGAGGAAATTTCTCCCGCGCCGCCCCCCCCCCCGCCCCGCCCCATAACTAGGCTGTAGCAGGTCTTTGCTGCATTGCAAACCCCAAAACTTAATGGTCCCTGATTCTCTGGCTCAGCAGTTTGGGCTGGGCTCAGCTGGCTCACTCGCACTGTGGCAGGCCGCCAATGCTTTTAAAAAACAAACAAACATTTATTTTATTTTGAGAAAGAGAGAGAGAGAGAGCAGGGGAGGGGCAGAGAGAGAATCCCAAGCAGGCTCATGCTCAGCGCAGCCTGACATGGGGTTCGATCTCACAATGAGATCATGACCTGAGCCGAAATCAAGAGTCGAACACATAACCAACTGAGCCACCCAGGCGCCCCAGGCAGCTGCTGCTTAGAGGGGCGCCCAGGCTCACTCACAGCCCCGTTGTCTGTCAGTCAGCAGGCTGTAGGGACGCCCACCTGGGTGGGTCACCTCTGCTCCAGGAAGTCTCAGCCTCCAACAGGCTTAGCCCCGGGCCCCCTCCTGTCGTGCTCTTGGGTTTCAAAAAACAAGAGAGGGCAGGGGCCAAGGTGCTTGTGCTTGTGTCACATCAGCAAATGTCCCATTGGCCAAAGCGTGCCCCGAAGCCAGATTCGGGAGGTGGGGAAATAGATTCTCCCTCTTGCTGGGAGTCCCTGAAAAGAATTTATGGCTATTGATTGACGGATTGATTTAAATACACAACACGGGATATACTTGATCAACTAACTAAGCCGACCGCCGTGTGCTTCAAACTGCCTCTGCAGGCTGTGTGTCCCTGGACAAATTGCTCCGTGTCTCTGGGCTCCAGCCTGTTCCCCTCCTCTCTGTGTGGCTAAGCCCTGCCCCTCCTTGGAGGCTGGACCCTCCTTGGAGCAGGACTGGCCCTGCCCTGCATCACTGACTCACGCAGAACAGTCTCAGAGGTGGTGGGTCAGTCGCCTGCATCGGTCCCCTGGGGTGCTTGTTTACAAGGCAGATCCCCAAACTCTCTCCTGACCTGTGAGTCAGACTGCCTCGGGTGTGCGCCTTAACAATCTCCCCGGGGCGATGCGACTGAGCAGCCAATTTGGAGAACCTCTGTGTTTGGTGAAATCCTGAACTCCTTGGGGACTCAGAGCTCATTTCGGCTCCTTGCAGAGCTTGTTTGACCCCGGGCCCAGGTATAAAATGGGTCGAAGTCCCACCTGCCTGTGAGGCCAGTCGTCATAGCACTTAGCCCCACATGGCAGGACACTCTATGTCTGGGACTTTCATGAGGCCAGGATCTATGTTTTGTTCACCGCAGTCTCCCCGGCTCCTAGAACAGTGCCTGGTGCACGGAGCTGCTCAATAAATGTTTGTTGAATGACTAAATGAAAGCGGTTGCTATATGCCCCGAACAAAGCAGGGCACTTGTTAGGGATGGTTAGTGTTTACTGAGGTCACATCACGTGTCAGGCATGGTTCTAAGCGCTTTACCCGCATTATCTCATTTGACATGTGATGGCTGGCTTCCAAGATGGCCTCCTATGATCCTTGACACATGGAATCCTTGCCTTTGTGTAGTTCCCTCCCATCCTGAGCCGGGTCGATAGGTGTAACAAATAGGATATTATGAAAATGAAGGAATATGGCTTTTTTCTTTTTCTTTCTTTTTTTTTTTTTTTTTTTTTGCTTCCCACAAGAAGTGTATTATGTCTTCAAGACACTACAATGTAGGCTCTTCTCCCAGAGAAGGATCTTTCCGGCCCAGGGAGCCATCACCCAGATGAGTGGCTCGTTTGTCATTCTCATAAGCAGCCGGATTCTTCCGCTTGGCTTTCACAAACTCCTGGGTCCCCCGTGTGTAGACAGGATAAAACGCTACAAATGGCGGCACGACATCCAGGATGCATGCCCGAGTGTGGCACCGCATGCTGGGGATGGCCTTGCCGAAGTGGTGCGGGAAGGCGGTGCTCGCAGGGCAACAAGGCTGTAGGTGGTCACGTGCTGCACCCGTGTCAGATCCCGGAACTCGTGGCCCAGGGTTGCAGCAATGCCTCAGTCCCGCACAGGGGTCACTCTGCCCTCCCCGGTCGTGGGGACCACTGTCCGTCTGAAGGAGGGAGGCTGGGCCATAAAACATACCATGGCTCCTGCCTTGCTCTCCAGGATCATCTGCTCTTGGGAAAGCCAGCAGCCATGTTTCAAGGACACTCAAGTAGCCCTTCCGGGAGGCACAGGTGGCAAGGAATTTAGACATCCCGCAAAGCAGCGCCAACCAGGTATAGGAGTAGCTTTCTCGAAGGCTGATCTTCCACCCTGGTCAAGCCTTCAGATGACTGAAGCCTCAGCTAACATCTTCACTAAAACCGCTGAGAGACTTTGCACCAAAACCACCTAAGAAGCTCCTGAATTCTTAAACCCCGGAAACTGTGTGAGATCTACATGTTTGTTGTTGTTCTGAGCCCCTAAATTTTGGGGTAACTTGTTAGACATCAATAACCAGGAATTGAGACAGATCGTCAAAAGAGCCTTACGAAGGAGGGACCATCATGATCACCATTGTACAGAGGAGGAAGCTAAGGCCCAGAGAGGGGGGATCTTGTCCAGGATCACGTACATCATGAACAGCGGGGCTGAACCCAGTTTTGAATGATCAAAGAGTCTCCCCACGGGGTTGAAGGATGTCCAAAGTGACTGCCAGCTCTGCCCTTGAAGGCCCAAGGGTAGGACAAGAACACCTGAAAGAAAATATCTGCCCTCAATACACATTTGTGCAGGTAACCTCAGGGCTGAAGGGACCACGATCGTCAAAAACCAGCAATGGTCACCAGAGGAAAACAAGGCAACAGAAGTGAAAATCAGCAGAAACAGACACTCAGAGTTCAGATGGCAATATTACCAGACACAGATCAGGGGCACCTGGGTGGCTCAGTTGGTTAAGCGAAATCAAGAGTCAGCCACTCAACCAAGTGAGGCACCCAGGCACCCCAGTAGTATATGCTTTAGAAAAAAAAAAAAAAAAATGAAGCCAGGAAGGAGGATATAAAATGCTGGAAAGGGGAATCTGGGTGGCTCAGTCGGTTAAGTGTCCAACTTCGACTCAGGTCACAATCTTGTGGCTGGTGGGTTTGAGCCCCACATTGGGCTCTGTGCTGACAACTCAGATTCGGATTCTGGAAACTGCTTCGGATTCTGTGTCTCCCTCTCTCTCTGCTCCTCCCCGCTCACACTCTGTCTATCTTTCTGCCTGTCTCTCTCAGGAAATAAACATTAAAAAAATTAAATGCTGGATGTATGTGGGTGTATGAAATTTCAGATAGAGTGAACAGGGAAGAGTTTTGGGTAACCATTAAACTAAAGGGAGAGTGCAAGCCATGACGATACTGGGATTATGGCACATGCAAAGATCCCGAGGTGGAGTGTGTCTGCCTTATTCCAGGACCTAGGAGGCCAGTGGGTTTGAGTGGGGTGAGCCATGGGTTGAACATTCCTCCCGGAAGTGGAGTGGGGAATCCAGGAAGGGGAGCTCTGACAGGTACCACTGCGGAGGTCTATTACGGGAAGAATTGTCAATTACATACCCCAACAGTCCTCAACAGGAAAGACTCAACTACAAGCCCAACAGGGAAAAGATGTGCATTGGATCTCCTACAAGAAATTCACTACCTCTGTAACTCAGCCAATGAGAAAGTGTCATCACCCTGAACTCTTGCTTTTCTCCAATGGACTTTGGCTCAAAACATGCCTCCCAATTCCCTCCATCTCAGTAATGTTTCTATGCGTTGTTAGATTTGCCCATGGTTTTTCACAGCTTGAATGTCCCAAACTGCAACTCTTGGCTATTCCTGAATAAACCCCCCCCCCCTTTTTTTTTTTGGAAAATAACTGGCTATTTTATTTTTTAGGCTTAAAGTAGTAAGAGGAGGGGAGGCAGTTTGCAGCTGTGGAGAGGATCTCGGCTTTTACTTTGCTAGGAGAGTGTTGGGAAGAACCGGGAGTGTTTTGAGGAGTGACGCGGTTTGATTTACACTCTAGGGACTGTCTGGCAGCGGGCTGGGGCCCTGTTGGGGCCAAAAGGAGAAGCAAGGAGCCTAATGGGGATAGAGCCTCGGTTTGTGTTTCGCAAACGGAGCTGAGGATGGGGCTGACCCTCCCGGGTGCGGGTGAGTATGCAGGGATGAGCCCCGCCCCCATCCCGTCCAATCCCCGCCCCCGGCGGCCACTGCCCCGCCCCTCCCCTCCAGACCCGCCCCCCGCCCCTTCCCGCGGCCGTGCGGGCGCGGCCTGCCGGGTGAGTGAGGGTCGGGGAGTCCCGGATCACAGCCCAACAGGGGTCACCCCGGTCAAGGTCCTTGAGCACCCCGGACCACCGCGACCCCGGCGCAGGGCGGGCGCCGCCGGGGACTGCGTAGGTGCCAGTCGCCGCCGGGTGTGCCGGGCGGTTGGGGGGGAGGGTGTCCGGATGTCCCGACAGTCTGCTGCCCCACTTCCGGGGCCTCCACTTTCACTTTCCCTTTCGCTGTAGCTGCTCCCCTCCCCTCCCGACTGTCTGGGGCCGCCCCGCAGGGGAGGGAGTGTGGCTGCAATCCCCGGCGCCAGGGGTGTTCCCAGAAGCGAGAAGTTGGGGGGACGGCCCTCGCCAGGGACTAACAGCGCCCGGCTGTGCGGCGTCACCCTCATCCCTGCACCAGGTCTGTCCCGCTTCCTCTGTCGCCCATTGTGGGCTTGGCTCGGTGCCCTTTGCCCTTTCACCTCCCACGCAGGGTCCCAGCCCGTTCCCATACCCGGTCTCCGGTGCTTGTGATGTTACCTGATTCCATCCAGGGACACCAAGGCATAAAGAGGGTTCGGGCCGGGCCGGAGGCCACCGGCCGGGACTGAATTACTTGTGGTCATCCGCCCTCTCCCAGGTGACCCAGGGATAGCATTTCTCCGGAGCTGCTGCCCCCGCCTGGGGGCATGGGCGCAACCACGCCAGATGGACGAGAAGACCAAGAAAGGTGGGCACAGCCTGGAAGCGGCTGGGAAACTTCCTTTAGGCGGTGGGCCCCCGGCAGGACCTGGCCTCCCCTGCCCTGAAGGGTGGGAGAGGTGGCTTTAACCGCACCCTCCCTCTATCCACCTGCCCCTCAGTTTCCTTCTTTGGGGCCTGGTTGCTTCTAGGGGCTGGTCCTTCAACTATGGCGTGTCCCTGAGGCCACCACGAGCCAGCACTGTGTTGTGATGGGGGTGGAGAGCTCCCAGAGAACACAGGAGATCTCTCAGGCTGGTGCAGGAGACAGATCTCAGTTGACCTAAATACCAGGGGTCCTTGCGCCCCCTCTTGCCCCCTCCACCTAGCACTGTAGAACATGTCAGATCATGTCATCACCCTGCTCAAAACCCACCCCGTGTCCCTCTGTGTTCTTAGGCCAGAGCCCTCGGTTAGCCCACAGTTCCCTCCTGGCTTCACTGACCTCACAGTCTTACCCCATTCACCCCCTTGTTCATTCTGATGGAGCCCCACTGGTTTCTTTCTGTACCCATCCAATCATTTCTGGCTCAAGACCTTTGCCCTGACCTTTCTCTCCACCTGGAATACTCTTCCCTAACTGGGTTTGGACACATCTAGCTTCTCCTGGTCTCAGCTTCAGTGTCCCCTCCTCCTAGAGGCCTTCCCTGATCTCCTTCTGCTGTTTATTTCCTTGCCAGCGTGGATCACAACCTGAATTTTTTTCTGCTGTCTATCTCCTTGCTGGGCCGGGAGGTCTGTCAGCACGGGGGACCCGTTTATCTTATTCACTGCTGAATCCCAGTTTCTGGGACAGCGGCTGGTACACAGTAGGAGCTCAGTAAATCCTTGTCACATAAATGAATGGAAGTTTGGGGGCCTGGGAGTCTGAAGGACAAATAGAACTACGTGAACAGGGAGGGGGAATGGGGAGTATCGGAGAAAGGGATTTTTAAGCTGGGTGCTGAAGGATATGTAGGAGTTCACCAGGGAGACAGAGGAAGCAGTAGGTGCAAGGGACCACCACCTGCCTCTCCCCCAGCTCCTGGAAAATAAACCGTGTGCTAACCTGCTTCCATTGTACTGGATTTCAGCCGAGGAGATGGCCCTGAGACTCACCCGAGCAGTGGCAGGCGGGGATGAACACGTGGCAGTGCAGTGTGCCATCTGGCTGGCAGAGCAACGGGTGCCCCTGAGTGTGCAACTGAAGCCTGAGGTCTCCCCAACACAGGACATCAGGTGAGGAGGGCACGACTGGCCTAAGTCTTAGGGCTTCCTGGAACCCAGTGGGCCGCAGTATATTCTTGCCGGTTATTCTCCTTTAAAAATTTTTTTTAATGTTTATTCATCTTTGAGAGACAGAGCATGAGCGGGGGAGGGGCAGAGAGAGACGGAGACACGGTATCCGAAGCAGGCTCCAGGCTCCGAGCTGTCACCACAGAGCCCGACGCGGGGCTCGAATTCATGGACCGCGAGATCATGACCCGAGCCGAAGTCGGACGCTCAACCGACTGAGCCACCCAGGCGCCCCTCTCGCCAGTTATTCTTAATGGCAGGTTCTGGTGTCAGGAGACCTAGCTTCAAACCCGAGCCCTGTCTGTCATCCACTGTGAGATCTATAGCAAGTCACTTCACCTCTCAGAATTTTCAGAGGTTTTTTGATTTTAAAAATGAGGCAATAATAGTAAGCCATCTCATAGGATTGTTAGAAGGTGTATTAGAATGTTAGTCCTCGGGGCGCCCGGGTGGCTCAGTCGGTTAAGTGTCCGACTTCGGCTCAGGTCACGATCTCGTGGTTTGCGAGTTCGAGCCCGGTGTTGGGTTCTGTGCTGACAGCTCAGAGCCTGGAGCCTGCTGGGTATTCTGTGTCTCCCTGTCTCTCTGCCCTTCCCCTGCTTGTGCTCTGTCTCTCTTTTTCCAAAAATAAGTAAACATTAAAAAAAAAAAAACACACATATAGAATGTTAGTCCTCATATAACAGAAAAAACATAGTAACGGTGGCATAAATAAATTTGATGGCAGGCAGTCTGTATGTGGGGGCTGTGCTTCCTGTAAGTCCCCGGAGACTCAGGCTTCTGTCTTGTTGCTCTGACATTCATGGGCTCCATTCTGCAGTTCGCTTCATGGTCTAGAATGGCTGTTCCAGCTCCGGCCATCCTATCAGCATTCTTGCCGATAGGGAGGAAGGTGTGGTGTCTCCCAGCCAGATGGGGGCCCCCAAATGTGGGGCGACCCAATTGGGTAGAAGCTGGCTGTGCAGGTGCAGAACAAAAGAGAACTGTATTGAAGACACCACCAGGGAGCGGTGGGCAGGACAGCAAAGCAGGCACTGTCTGTGGGGGGCTAGAGCTACAGGGGAGAATGAGAGAATATGGGGACGTTTGGAGTTTCCCCTTTTTTGGCCACTGTGCCTGGTGTGAGTGACCCCTTTGTCAGCGGGGGCTTAGGGATATTTTGAGGTGGGTCGCTTAATGAGCCTGTTTGCATTCAGCGGTGATGGTCGCTGTGGCCCCTTCTGTCTGTCTTACTCAAGTTGCCGTTCAAGCCTGTTGGCCAAAAGCGGCCTCTGCAGAAGGGAAGAGGGACCCCCGCTCCCACCCTTGAGGGCACAGCTCAGAGAGTTGCACACACTTCTTCCAATCAATTCCTGTGGACCAGAAGGTATTCTCACAGCCATGCTCGGCTTGAAGGGAGGCTGCGAAACACGACCAGGCATCCAACTAGAACTCAGGGTTTCTGTTAGCAAGTAGAGGCAAGGGAGAACGGAGGCTGGTCATCTTTCCCCAGGAGACTGAATTGCTCTCGGAATGCTTAGCACAATGCCTGGCACATGTCACTCACTCAGTGAATCGTGGTGCTTATCTTCCCCCCCAACCTGCTTTTTCATTGCTGCCTAGTAACTTTCTATTGCCTTGTAAAGGACACCGGTCCGTGCTTTTATTTGTAGTCTCTGCTCATCTCCCTCCCTTTCCCCAACCCCAGCCTTAGGCAGCCGCGAATCTACTTTTATCTCCAGGGACTTGCCTGGTCTGGACATTTCGCAGAAATGGAATCATACCGCATGTGGCCTCTTGTGTCCGGCTTCTTTCACTTAGCATCCTGTTTTCTCGATTCATCCGTGTGGTGGCGCGTATCAGAACTTTATTCCTTTCTGTTGCTCGATGATAATCTATATTGTACGAATATACCACATTTTCTCTGTTAATCATTTGATGGACATTTGGGGTTTTCCCGCTTGGGGGCTAACGTGAGTAATGATGCTGTGAACATTCGTGCCCAATCTTCTTTTTGAGTTTTACCGAGCTGTAATGGACACAGGACATTGTATTAGTTTAAGGTGTTGTGATCTTGTGAATTATAATAAGGAGTATTTTCTTGGTCTTTGTCCTTTCCTGGCACAGAGCTCCTTGGAACTTTACGTTTTTCGAATGGTAAAGGTGCCTTTTGTTGTGCAAATGAGGTGACCTTTGGAACCTCCCTAGATCACCTAAGGATGGGGGCCGCTGCTCACCAGAGAAACCAGCCAGTGTGATTAGAGGGTTGGAGTGTTCAGTCCCATCCCCCTGACCTCCTGGGAGGGGACGGGGACTGGAGGTAGAATCAGTCCCCAGTGGCAGTGGTCTCATCAGTCACGCCTATGTAATGAGATTTTCATAAAAACTGAAAACAGAGCTTCTGGGTTGGTGAACACGTGGAGATCTGGGGACGCTAGAGCACTCCAGAGGGCAGGGAAGCTACCACCCTTTCCCGGATGGTGTGCCTCGCACTGTGCATCTCTTCCAGATTCTTCCATCGGGCTGTCCCCGAATTATGTCCTTCCATAACAAACCAGTGGTCTCGTAAGGAAAATGTTTGAGTTCCGTGAACTGCTCTAGCAAATTAATGGAATCCCAGGAGTGGGCTGTTGGAACTCCCGATTCTGTATCCGATGACTCAGTACCGGCTTACGACTGCCATTTGAGAGGGGGCGGTCTCGTAGGACTGAGCCCTCAAGCTGCGGACACTGCTGCTGTTTCGGGGGTAGATCGGGTCAGAATTGAGTTGAAATGGAGGACGCCCTGCTGGTGCCTGAGAATTGCAGGAGCCTCCCTCTTCCCATCCACACGTTGGAAATCGAGTCTCGGAACCAGTTTAGATGCACGACATAATGACTTGGTACATGTATGTAATTGTGCAGTGATGAACACAGCAAGTTAACATCCATTGCCTCACATACTTACGTATTATTTTTTTAAGTATTCTCTATACCCCACATGGGGTTTGAACTCACCACCCTGGGATCGAGAGTCACATGCTCTACCAATGGAACCAGCCAGCCGCCCTTATCATTTATTTTTTTTTTTTTTGCAATGAGAGCTTTTAGGATTTATTGCCTGCAGTATTCAGATACATGAGGCAGAAATGTTAACGATAGTCACCATGCCTGTACATTACCTCCCTGTGACTTGCTTATTAACCTCAATACCATTATCACATCTAAAAAATTAAGAATAATCCCTTAAAATCCCCTAACACAGTTTATAGTATAATTTCCCTGATTATCTCATTGACAGTTTTTATAGTTGGGTTATTCCAATTAGGAGCCAGAGAAGATCTACACGGGTCCTTTCTTTCTTTCTTTTTTTTTTTTTTAAACATTATTTTTGAGAGACAGAGCATGAGCAGGGGAGGGGGAGAGAGAGAGGGAGACACAGAATCCGAAGCAGGCTCCAGGCTCTGAGCTGTTTGTTAGCACAGAGCCCGATGCGGGGCTCGAACTCATGAACTGTGAGACCATGACCTGAGCCGGAGTTGGACGCTCAACCGACTGAGCCACCCAGGCGCCCCGACATGTATCCTTTCTTAATCTTGCCTTTTTAATTCCTCCTCTTTATTTTTATGCCATTAATTTAAGAACCTTGGTCTTGGACCTCCAGGATTCCCCCACATGCTGGATTTATTAACTGCCACCTCGGGGTGTCATTTAAGTATCTCCAGTTTTTCTTGTGAACTTGTAGTTGGATCTAAAGGTTAGGTTAGTCTGGAGTCACTTTGTACATTTCCAGGAACTCGTCCTCATTTACTGATTATTTCTTGCTGTTCTTGTTCTGTGCTCTGATGTGTCTGTGTCCTTTGGGATCCAGTTCTGGTTTTTTTCATCGTAGCCCTTCCCTTTCGTGCTTTTGATCTTCCAGAAATGTTGAAGGGTCCTCCCTTGAGAAAGCTGGTGTTTCTCTGCAATAACACTGGGTTGAAGTCCTGCCTCTCACAGTCTCAGTGTTACTTGGTAGCCTCAGCGTAACCTGTCCGTGCCTCGTGTTTTTATCTGTAAAACAGCAGTGACAACAGTATCTGCCTCCTGGGTTTGTGGAGAGGATTAAACGGGCTAAAACATACTAAGTGCTGGGGCGCCTGGGTGGCTCAGTCGGTTAAGCGTCCGACTTCGACTCAGGTCACGATCTCGCGGTTTGTGCGTTCAAGCCCCCCATCGGGTTGTGTGCTGACAGCTCAGAGCCCGGAGCCTGCTTCTGATTCTGTGTCTCCTCCTTTCTCTGCCCTTCCCCTGCTCATGCTCTGTCTCTCAATAATAAATAAATGTTTAAAAAAATTTAAAAAAGAAACATATTAAGTGCTTTGAAGCATCGTGGCATATAGTAAATAACAACGATTGGTGGTTTGGCTAAAGAGCAAAGGAGGGGGAATGACCGGAGGCTGGAGAGTAGGGAGGGGCCCGGATCACGGAGGCCCTCGTGCCGCAGTGAGTCCAGATTGGATTCTCAGAAGAGCGTGGAGCCACCGCAGGGGTTTAAGCAGCGGGTTCTGATTCAGGAGGAAGCACAGGGCTGCGGGAATCCGGGAAAGGCCCCCTAACCCAGACTGGGCGTCTGTGGGCGCGTGCGCGTGTATATGTACACGTGCAGCTGCGTGCACAAGCGTGCAGACAGGTACGTGCCAGCAGCTGGTGGCTGAGGTTGGACCTGTGACCTTCTCCGCAGGCTGTGGGTGAGTGTGGAGGATGCTCAGATGCACACAGTCACCATCTGGCTCACAGTGCGTCCGGACATGACGGTGGCTTCCCTCAAGGACATGGTGAGTTGGGGGGAGGGGGGTGCAGGCGGAAGTGGAGGGGGTACACGAAAGGGAAACATCAGGGCAGACGCTTCCCATTTTACGTCCACTTCTCTTTACTCTGGTCCTCCCTTTCCCCTCTCCCTCTCTCCATGTCCCCGCCAGGTATTCCTGGACTACGGCTTTCCACCCGTCCTACAGCAGTGGGTCATTGGGCAGCGGCTGGCCCGGGACCAGGAAACCCTGCACTCCCATGGGGTGCGGCGGAATGGGGACAGCGCCTACCTCTACCTGCTGTCAGCCTGCAACACCTCACTTAACCCTCAGGAGCTGCAGCGGGAGAGGCAGTTGCGGATGCTGGAAGGTGAGACTCTGCCTCTGAGTGGCACGGGACTCATCTGAGGTCGCAGGGCAAGAGGGAGCAGAGTCCGTGGACTTTTGGTCAGGAACTCTCACCAGGAGGACCTTATCCATAGTGCACAAAGGACACCCCCCCCCCCCGGAGGGAGCCATTTCTGGAGCCGGTGGTCTGGGGGAGAGGGGCTGAGTCCAGCCCCCCGGCCCCAGCATTTATCAGCTGTGTGACCTTGGGCCAGTCCCTTCCTGTCTCCACTCCTCAGTTTCTAAATCTGTAAATTGGATACCATGATAATAATAGCATTTATTCTCAATTTTAAAAATTTTTATCTGGAAATAGTTCAGACAGACAGAAAAGTTGCAAAGTTGTACAAAGAATTGCATAACAAATTCCCAAGGACCTTTCGCGTGTATTCCCCCAAATATTAACATTTCACCACAACTGCTTTGCTTTATCATTCTCTATACACAACTGTTTTTATATGCGTAAATACTTCTGTTTTCTGAACGGTTCTGAAGTGCAGACATGATGTATCCCTCTCCCCTAAAAATTTCAGTGTGCATTTTCTTTAAAATAGGGTCATTTTCTTACATTACCACATACAGCTACCAAATTTAGGAAACCAACAATGATAAAGTACTGTTATCTAATCCACACATGTTACCCAGATTTGACCAGTTGTCTCACTAATGTCCTTTATAGCAGGAGACTTGGCCATGGCGTCGTGTCTCCCAGGGTCTTTCAGTCTTTGGTACCCTAGTCTTCTGGTGACTGTCCTGATACTTGAAGACTCCAGCCAGTTTTTTTTGTTTTGTTTTTTTTTTCCCGCTTTTCTGTCCGATGGCCCTTCATGAATGGTTGCAGATTCAGGATTTGGCAGGAGCAGGACAGAAGTGTTTGTCCCTCTAGGTGCATAACTTGAGCATAGGAGGCCTGTCTTTAGGCGGAGGGGTTTTAAGCCGGGAGCACGCGGGAGCATTCACGGGTGGAGGAGGGACTCTGACTTTGTGGGAGCCCGACACTCAGCCAGGTCTGGGCTCACCTGGGGAACCGAGCTGGAGACTCCCCCAGGGAGGAGGGAGAAGACGAAGGAGAGGAGCTGTGCGGGGCGCGCGGCTGACACAGAGTGTGCGCCGAGTGGGCTGCGTGGATCTGCCACCCCCTAAATCCTCCTCCCTAGATCTGGGCTTCAAGGACCTCACGCTTCAGCCCCGGGGCCCCCTGGAGCCAGCCCCCACCAAGCCCGGAGCCCCCCAGGAGCCGGGGCGGGGCCAGCCCGAAGCCGCGCCCGAACCCCCGCCGGTAAGCCGCCCCCACCTCCGCGCGCGCCCTTGATCGCGCGCCCCGCCCCCGACTCCGCCTCCACGCTCCCGGACCCCTCCCCGCGCCGTGCTCAGCCCCACACCCTCCGACTCTGCCCCCAGGTGGGCTGGCAGTGCCCCGGCTGCACCTTCATTAACAAGCCCACGAGGCCTGGCTGCGAGATGTGCTGCCGGGCGCGGCCTGAGGCCTACCAGGTTCCCGCCTCGTACCAGCCGGACGAGGAGGAGAGAGCGCGCCTGGCGGGCGAGGAGGAGGCGCTGCGCCAGTACCAGCAGGTGGGCGCGGCGGCCTCGGACCAAACACCTGTGGGCCGGGCGGGGAGGCGTACGGTGGGACGGGAGGCACCTCCGCATTGCCGCTCCAACCCCGTGGCTGCCTTGCCCCCTCCTGACCCCCCCGCTGCTGTTGACCCCGCACTTGACTGTGGCCCGCCCTCTCCTGGAGGTCTTAAGTGCTGAGACCCTGCTCCCAGGCTGTGATCACATGCCCCGCCCCCACTTCGGCTGTGGCTCCGCCCCTAGCTTTGACACACACCCACTGTGCACACGACTGCCCCAGGCTGTGACTCCCTCACCCTGTTTCCGACCACGCTCGTATCCACCTTCCCCTTATCCACCTGTGATAGTTACTGCTCCACTTAGACATGACCTCACCCTGGACCCTGCTACTCCCGACCCCCTCCCTCCCCGTTGGGGTTCACCCCTGACTTCCTGGGAGCCTGGACCGTGCCCTTCACTGCTCCCCGTAAGATTGGCCCCGCCCTCTGTCCTGCCCCTTCCGTAGTTATGCCCCCCGATCCTGACACAAGCCCTGATTACACAGATGCCAGACCCTGAGTGTCCCCCATTCTGATTGGATGCCCCCCACCTGCTTTCTCCTCGGACCCAGTGCTGCCCTTGCCCCACCCCAGCCATGACCTCATTCGTGGTCTTACCTACAACCTTGGCCCAGACCCCGTCCTCTCTCCGGTCTTGCTTTGCTCTCTAGCTTTATCACCACCCCCATACCCCTGACCCACTCTGTGACCTTGACGGGCTCCGACTCCACCACCCCCCGCCCTGCTTCTGGGCGGGGATGTGAACCCTCTTAAGACCCCCAGACTACCCCCTCAGACTCCTTCCCTTCACTATTGCCATCACTCCCTCTCGTGGCTTGACCCCTGGTTGCAGCTCCAACCTGCCTCTGCCTGGCCCGCCTCCTGTCATTGGCTTCCCCGCCTCCCCTCCTGCCCTGGCCCCATCCTTCCCATCATCTCGTCTCCCGCCCACTGCCAGGCCACCTCCACCCCCACCCAGGGATCCTGACTCTCCCCCAGCTTTGCCCCGCCTCCGGGGTCTGACCTGGCCCCCCTGGTCCTGCCCCCTTCCTGGTCTGACCCTCCCCCGAGACCCTGACCCGCCCCGCGGCCCCGCCCCGTGTGCCCAGCGGAAGCAGCAGCAGCAGGAGGGAAACTACCTGCAACACGTCCAGCTGGATCAGAGGAGCCTGGTGCTGAACACCGAGCCCACCGAGTGCCCCGTGTGCTACTTGGTGCTGGCGCCCGGCGATGCCGTGGTGCTGCGTGAGTGTCTGCACGCCTTCTGCAGGTGCGGCCCCCAACCCCACCCCCAGCAACGCAGCGTTTGTCGCAGCCGCCGATTACCGGAGGGCTGAGAGTGGGTGGGGCCTGTGCGCTTACATCTCATTGGACGCTCACAAAAACCTGCGAGGTAGGCGCTGTCTCCCCATTTTGCAGAGGGGGAATGTGAGGTTCGGAGGCCAGCCGCTTGCTCAAGGCCACACTGCTCAGGCATTCTGGTTCCAGAGCCTGCGCCCTTTGCCGCTCTCTGCGGCAGGCCCAGCCAAGGGCACTGAGGCCCTAGCGCCGCCAGACTGAGCCAGCCCCGCTCTCCGCCTGGCTGGTGGGCAGACCGTCCTCTGAGGCTCCGCCAGGCCACCGGTCCTGCGCTGTGCAGACCATGTCCGCCTTCACCACAGCGGACGTTCGCACGGCCCCTGGGTGCCAGGGACTGTGCCAGGCCTGGGGATCCAGGAGGGAACAAAGAAGCTCAGTTCCTGCCTCCTTGGAGCTTACGTTCCGGTGGAGAGAGTCTGATATTAATCGAATAATCGCTGATGGAATTGTAAATTGTGTCAAATGCTAAGCACCAGCGGATTGTGATTAGTGGATTCCGATCAAAGAACAGGGGCCCTGCTCCAGGAGCGGGTCAGGAGAGCCCCTAAGGGGGTAGCATTTGAGCAGAGACCCGAGGGTCTGCTGCAGCGGTCTGCCTGGCCTGTCTGTGGCCAAGCAGGCGTCAGTGTGGCTGGAGCAGAGATGGACCGAGAGATTAGTTAGAGAGGGCAAGTCCTCAGGGCTCTTGTGAGCCGTAGTGAGGCGAGCAGGTTTGTTCTGGGCGGATCCGGATGGGGGGCTGCTGGGGACTGTGAGGCCAGTGTGTTGGGAATGGTGTCGGAGGGCGAGGTGGGCCCAGGGAACCCGGGAAGGATGCTTCTGCTCTGCTCCAGGCAAGGAGTGATGGGGGCCTGGACCAGAGCAATGGGGGGATGGCTGTGGGGTGCACAGAAGTGGATGCTTTGGAGATGGGTTTATGGGAGGGATATGAAGGAAGAGGGGAATTGAAGAGAAGCCCACCTGGGGTCAGGCCTCACTACGTGAGGGGTGGAATCCAGGTGGATGGGCTTCAGATGACCCTAACCTCCCCCTCCCACCCTTCACCCCCTCCAGGGAGTGTCTGCAGGGCACCATCCGCAACAGCCAGGAGGCCGAGGTCTCCTGCCCCTTCATTGACAACACGTACTCGTGCTCGGGCAAGCTGCTGGAGAGGGAGATCCGGGCGGTAAGGCCAGGGGCGGAGGGCGCACCCTGAGCTGGCAGGTGGGGATGGGGTTGGGGGCACCGGTCTCAGCACACATTTATCCGGAGCCTTCTGTGTGGGCTGCTGAGGGCCAAGCAGTGAACAGGATGGGACTTGGGGGAAGTAGGCGGTAAAGAAAGCACTCTTGGGAAGGAAAGACAGCAGAGCCATTAAGAATGGGGAAATTCTGGGGCCATTGGCCTGGGTGACCTCCGGTCAGATCCTCACCCCGTGCCTTGGTTTTCTCATCTCAGCTAGGGTCGCAGTTAGCTTCTTCGAAGGTTGCGAAGAATATAGTAGAGCGTGTGTGTAAAAGACTTCAGAGTAATGGGTGAGCCCTCGCATCCGTTTGCTTTTGCCGCCTGACAAGTTATCCCAGACGTAGTGTCTTCAAACAACCACTGTTTATTTAGTTCACGAATCTGCAAGTGAGTCATCGGGGTTGGACTTAGCCAGATGATTCTTCTAGCTCCAGCTGGGCCTGGCTGGTCCCATGTGGGTTTAGCCGGTGGATCAGCTGTCACGGGCTGATTTATGATGGCCTTATTTGCAATGGCGGGGCGGCTGGGCCTGTTTCCGCTTTGCTCTGTCACCCACCGGCAGGCTGGTCAAGGCCTGCTCCCGGGCTGGTGGCCTCCAGGGTCCCGGAGCAGCCAGCAGGGAGCTCCAGTGCAAGAGTCCTTGCCACGCGTCTGCTCTTTTTGCTGCCATCCCAGTGAGCATGCTCGAGCCCATAGTCCCCGCGAGGGCACCATCCAAGGGTGTGGAGTCAGGGAGACATGAATAAATCGGGGCCCTTTCTCCAGCAATCCATTCCGGTGTTGCACACGTCTGCACGAGTGTGTTCGCTGTTACTATTATTATTATCATCAAGATCCCACCCTTCTTGGAGTCTCCATTCCCCCCCCCTGGAAAATCGACTGCTGGGCCTGATTCGTGGTTTTTAAACTGCTCGGGACTGGCCTTCTCAGAATTGGGCATCTTGGGGTTCCCAGACCAAAACATGGAGGCAGGGTCACAGTGGCTGAGGTCCAAATGGGAGACCCACCCCCCCCTCCAACAGGCACATCCGCGAGACCTCTGTACCTCCTGCCTCTCCCTTAGGATCCTGCTTCCGAGAACGTCCCTGACTGCACCAAATATTTCCTGGAGCCCAAGGGGTCTACCTCTGCTCCAAAAGGGGAGGCAGAGAGGGTAGAACTTGGGGAACTTCTCCCCACATCCAAGAACAGCCTCGTTTTTATCTGTTGTCTGTGGGGCACTGGGGAAGGGCGGCTCTGGGTGGTTGCTGAGGCCTTCTCACTCGGGCCTGGAAAGGCCCCCAGACATAGAGTCCTTCCAGATGTCCCGGCACCCATCGTCATCATCCAGGGGTTTTTCCCTTGAGGTCCACCCCTGCCAAGGGCATTGTGATGGGGCCAGAGCTCCTTCCAGGGGGCCGCAGGGCCCTGTGCTTCCCCAGAGGCCTTGGGAGTTGACCCAAGACTCAGAATGCTCAGGTGTGGCAGAGGGAGAAAGCGGCAGAGATCAGCAGGGTGACGCAGTGGAGTTTATCTTTACAAAAAAGATGCCTAAACCACATAGAACCGGAACAGAAATCAAAGAGAAAAGTCACCCACAACCCCCGCATCTCAGAAAATCCCCGGATACATTTTTTCCGTTTCCCTTGGTGTCTGTGGGCAGACATGATTTTATTCCTTTTTATTTATTTATTTATTTTTATTTTTTTTAACGTTTATTTATTTTTGGGACAGAGAGAGACAGAGCATGAACGGGGGAGGGGCAGAGAGAGAGAGGGAGACACAGCATCGGAAACAGGCTCCAGGCTCCGAGCCATCAGCCCAGAGCCCGACGCGGGGCTCGAACTCACGGACCGCGAGATCGTGACCTGGCTGAAGTCGGATGCTTAACCGACTGCGCCACCCAGGCGCCCCGATTTTATTCCTTTTTAAATCAGCTTTACTAAGGTGAACTTTGCAGGCAATAAAAAGCACCCATTGTAAGCATGCAGTTGGGTGAATTTTGACAGACGTAACTCTCGTAATCAGCCCCCAATCAACATGGGGAATGTAGGCATGATTTTTACTTGTGACCAGCATAGATACACCTTTTGCTATGTTGCTATAGAACTTTTCTGAGGATTATTATAAATCTCTATGGCATGTATCCTGCTTATATCTCTTCTCTTAATAATTCCAGTTTCTCAGTTTGTAACGAATGCTTCAAGAACTTTTTGAATGGTGTCTCTTCTTGTACATTATTTTCTTGGGATGAACCTGTAGATGGGGAGTGAGTCCTAAAGGGTCAGAGAAGTTTTGTTGAAACGTAATTGCCACACGGCTGTCTCCCAGTGTGATGTACCAGGATACTAGTTTAACCACATCTTCGCCAGCATTGCTGGTTATTATTTTTGTTTATTGTTCCTTTTTTTTTAAATTGTAGAATATACATAACAGAATTTCCCATTTTTACCATTTTTCTTTTCTTTTTTCCCCCCATTTTTACCATGTTAAGTGTACAGGTCTGTGGCATTAAGTACACTCACATTGTGCACCTATCACCACCGTCCATCTCCAGAACTTCTAATCCACTTTTTGAATGAGAGTTTTTATTTAAAAAAAAAAATTTTTTTTTAATGCTTTTATTTTTGAGAGAGAAAGAGACAGAGTGCCAGCAGGGGAAGGGCAGAGAGAGAGAGAGGGAGACACAGAATCCGAAGCAGGCTCCAGGCTCTGAGCTGTTAGCACAGAGCCCGACGCGGGGCTCAAACCCACAAACCGTGAGATCATGACCCGAGCCAAAGTTGGATGTTTAACCAACTGAGCCACCCAGGCGCCCCTTGAATGGAGTTTTTAAACACTGAGCAGGGCTGGGTTGGACTTCATGGGTCGAGGGCTTCCTGGAGGATATTTGGTGGCTGGGCGGGCCCGCGTCAGCTGTTCTGAACCCCGAGCAAACAAGGTTGTGGCCTCTCGGCAGCTGCTGCCCCCCGAGGATTACCAGCGATTTCTGGACCTGGGCGTCTCCATCGCGGAAAACCGCAGTGCCTTCAGCTACCACTGCAAGACCCCGGACTGTAAGGGATGGTGCTTCTTTGAGGATGATGTCAACGAGTTTACCTGCCCAGTGTGCTTCCACGTCAACTGCCTGCTGTGTAAGGTGGGGACAGGGGCCCACGCTGTCCAGTCACCCTAGTCCTGCCAGGAGCTCACTGCACCCCGGTGCTTGTTCTCCTGGCAAGGGAGCTGTGACCCCAGCCTGGTTGTTTCACCACGGACAGCCGCACGTCGATGGCGGGGCCTGGTCCGGGCCCCAAACTGAGCCTGACCCTTGGACCGAGCCCTGGCTCTCGGTGGAACCTCAGCCTAGCCTGAGCCTCGGCCCGAAACTGAGCCCTGACCCTGGCCTCCTAGTCACACACCAACCCGCCCCTGGCCCCAGACTGATGCTCAACCCCTGTCCTGAATTGAGCCCGGACCCCAAACCCAGACTGAGTCTTGCCGGACCCTGACCTCAGGCCGCTCCCCGCCCTCATCGTCTCAGTGGTTGACCCCTAATGAGACTGGTCTCGAGACCAGACGAGACGATGCCCGTCTCTGGTCTCTCCAGACTGGTCTGGAGCCTTCTCACATCGAGCCCCTCGCCCGCCACAGGCCATCCACGAGCAGATGAACTGCAAGGAGTACCAGGACGACCTGGCCCTGCGGGCTCAGAACGATGTGGCCGCCAGGCAGACAACAGAGATGCTCAGGGTGAGGCAGCGTCAAGGCTGAGGCCTGGGGATTTGGGTTCTGGGAGGGTTCGGTCCGCAGGTTGGGGGCTTCTCAGTTCTCAGAAAGGGCTGGTCACTGCCATCCAGAAGCGGGACTGGTTAGGACAAGCGGTCACGGGGTGAGTAGCGGGGAGCACGTCTACAAAAGGCAGAAGAGCGTAGGAGAGTGACCCCACACCCCCAGAGGGCCAGCCGGTTTGTCCCTGCGGTGGGCCAGGGGTCAGGGAGGGCTCCGGCCGGCAGCCGCCCCAGCCCGGCTGAAGGCTGGCACCTGCCGTGCCCCAGTCCATGCTGCAGCAGGGCGAGGCCATGCACTGCCCACAGTGCCGCATCGTGGTGCAGAAGAAGGACGGCTGTGACTGGATCCGCTGCACCGTCTGCCACACCGAAATCTGCTGGGTCACCAAGGGCCCACGCTGGGGGCCTGGGGTGAGTCTTGGGGGCGGGCGGGGGGAAGCAGAGGCTGGGGAGCATGACGGGGAGGCGCCCGGGCGCCTCCCCCCAGAGTGGGGAACAGCCCCTGGGCCAAATCCAACTCCCTGCCTGGATCCGTCCAGTTTGTAAAGTGAGGACTGTTTTTACATTTTTTAAACGGTTGAAAAGTATCGAGAAAAGAAGTTGTTTGGTGTGACACGTGAAAATGATGCGAGACGCGAGTTTCACGTCCACAAGCAGCGTGTTCTGGGAGCACAGCCACGTGCATTCGTTGTGTACCGTCCGTGGCCGCTTTTGCACTACAAAGGCCGAGACCCGATGGCCCCAGACACCTGAGATGGAAGCGGCACTTTGCAGAAAAAGTTTGCTGACCGCACCCTAGAGGGCAGTGAGTGAGGATTCAGTCTGGGCCCAGAGGCAGAGCGGGTCCCCGGGTCTGGTGTACGCCGGCTGTGTGGTTAGGCTGTTCCGAGCCTCAGTTTCTTCATCTGTGAAATGGAGATGATGGCAGGCGTCTTGCAGGCTTGTCCTCAAAACCAAATGAAAGCATGCAATCAGGGCTGAGTTCCTGGGGTCGGGGGCTCGTAGTTGTATCCGGGCGGACCCCGGGACGGACGGAGGCAGAGGGAGCGTCTCTCAAGCTGCCAATGTGCTGACCCACCCAGGATTTGCAGACAGCCGTCACGTCCCTTGCCTGCTCTGGGTCTAGGGGAGCACAGACTGGGACCCTGTAATTAGGGGTGCTGCGGGAGCCCAGAAAGATCCTAACTGACTGCCTCCGCCAGGTAGCTGAGGCCAAGAAGGCCATTCGTGGCAGGCGGCCCTGCCCGAGCAAAGGGCCGGAGTGGGGGTGTGCAGGGCTTTGAGGGTGTGATGGAGCAGCGGGGCGGGCCGGGGGCGGGGCACTGTTTTCACTGCCATGACCTTCTCTCCTCCCCATCCTCTAGGGCCCAGGAGACACCAGTGGGGGCTGCCGTTGCCGGGTGAATGGGATTCCTTGCCACCCCAGCTGTCAGAACTGCCACTAGCTGAGGATGGTCCGGTCCCCACGCTGACCCAGCCCCCCATCCATCCCCATGCTGCTGTGGGACAGGGCTGGTGCTTTGGCTCTCATTTGTGGCCTGGGAGATGCC